GATTTTTGTTTTAGATTCCATCACTCACAGTTGAAGAGTACCTATGATAAAAATTACAGTTTTCTACAAGCTTTGCAAGTGGGAAAACCTGAAAAATCAACAGCGTATCAAATACTTGTTCTCCCCACTGTAAGAAAGGCAGAGGAAAGGTGTCAAAGCAGTTTGGAGAGAAAAACAAAGAACAAAAAAACTGATTAATCGATTATTAAATTAGTCATTATTTTAATAATCGATTAGTCGTCGATTAATCGACTAATCGTGGCAGCCCTCGCACGATGTAGACAAAAGCTTGTAGCAAAGCTTTCATGATGAGCCTAGTCCCACCCTGGATATGTCATACCACTAATATGACTTATAGAAACTAAAACTAAACAGAAACCTGATTCTCTGTTGAAGTAAATGACTAAAACTGATCACAAAGTACAAGATAGAAGACTGTGTCTAAAATTCAATGAGTCAGTCACAGAATTTCCTTTACTAACATGCATGTTGTTGGTCTGTGGGAGAAAACTAATACCTGGAAAGAACACTGGGATTCAGCTGGGCAACCTCCTCACTGTCTGGATTTAGTGCCATTAGGTTCAAGTCTAAGAACAAGAAATTGGGAGTCTTTAAAGATTGAAAACTGTCAGAATAAAAGGATCAACCACCCAGTGGTTTCAGGTGGATAAACTGCTGCTTGTATTTCAAGAGTTCAACACCTGTTAAAGTTTATACTCAAAGCATTTCAATTTAACCCACTGTGCTACCAGAGCAGATCAAACTCTGTGTTTTGAGCCTCAACTTCAACAGAAGCACCTGATCACCCACCTGAACCACTCAGTCTGATGCTTTTATTCTGACACTGTTCAACCTGTCTTTGGAGATGATCAACAGGTGAACCCTCTCGCATGGCCACTGCTGGACGTGTGCACCACTGACCTGACTCTGAAAGGACGAAGCAGGTGAAGGTGGACATTTATTTCAACATGACTACACACTGAACAAAAAACATTTTCAATACATACAAATCAAACAGAGCACCTTCACAAAACACGACCACAGAAGACAAGCCTGTCTTTATATGCTGCTTCTGATCAGAGAAAAACTTTTAAACCAACAAACATGAAAACTGCTGTACTGAGGCACAGGGATAGTTTCTGGACTAAATACAAAGTTATTGTGCACAGTGCTGCGGGGGCTCAGTGGTCAGAGTCGAGGTCCTGGAATGCAGAGGCTGCAGGTTCAAGTTTGCATCTGGAAGGGCATCAGGCGTAAAGCATTTGTCAAATCTGTGAGCGTTCACGAGAAAAATACTGAGGCTTTTAGATCAATTTGATTTCAGCATCACCTGAAGAACGACTACAGTGTTGTGAATAAATGGAGGCAGCGATACAGAGCAACTGAAGGAGAACRATGTGATGACAGCACTTCTTTCTCACTAACAAACACAAACTGATTTGGCTGAAATTATGTCCAAAAAATGGATGTATCCATCCACAGGACTGGGATGAAATAAATTGCTCTTTGAAGGGATCCAGATGTTGMGGAGCTGTTTGATTTTGAACAAGTTACATCATCACATCACATGGGTGGAACCGTGAGTTCAGTCAAGCAGAGACCCCTTCCTCTTTCCCCCCCAAGCTGCTGTATTCCACCGCTCTGCCTGGTTTCCAGGAAAAAAGCGAAGCGGGAGTGACTGTCTCCGTGTTTAAGGATGAAAAATAAAGATTAACAAGGAATAAAAAAATTCAACTACAAATGGCTCTTCACTGCCAGCGAGTCGGCTCCTATTGTTTGTAAGGAGGATCGTTTGAACGTCTCTAGTTGGGACTCATGTTTGCTGTTTTCTGTGGAAGCGCAGAACCGACAACCTTTCATTCCCAGCTCTGGTGGACAAGCATGACTCTCCCTCCAGGCCCTGATGGCTCAATAACCTGATGATCTCCTCTGTTGGGGATTAAAAAAAAAAACAAGTTTAACTTTGGAAACTGGTGATTTCTGGAAAAAACAGATGAGTCGACGAACCTGGGTCRTTCTCAGTGATGGTGATGAGGTAAAACAAGCCTTTATGGGACAGCAACTGAGCAACAGATGGAAGAAAGCGGTCGGTCACCTCTCTCCCTCGCTCTCCACCAGCCCAGGCAGCTTCTATACCTCTGCTGCTGACCTGAAACATAAACAACAAACACTAAGAAGCAAGGTTATAATAGTTCTGGATTTTTCATTATAGTTGTTTTATTTCGTTTTGACTTTGTACTTTTAATTCAGTTAGTTTTAATT